TGCTATGTGATGCTGTGGTAGTTGGTTCGGGTTTAGCACCTTCGAGCTTGGCCTTAAAGGCGTTGAAGAGCTGCAATGCTTCTCGCTCAGCGGCACTACTGGGCCCTGTACCGTTGCGACTCGAGCCATTTGCGGTCCCTGGAGGTGGCCGTTTCCGTCCTCGGATTGAGGTCTCGGGGATCATGGCTTCGAGGGCGGACTTCTTTCGACCTGTGTCCTTAGGACCGACATCGACGTTGCGGCGCATCGATTCCATCAGAGCCGCAATCTGAGCGTTTGTCCGTGACAGCTTAGACTCTTTTGCGGGTGGGGCATCTGGTGTAGGAGACCGAGTAGGCGACTCAGGGTCAGGTAGGGGGAGCTGTGCTTCTGGCTCTGGTGACTTTGGGCGCTTTTTACGCTCTGTAGACGGTGATCGATCTAGAGATGGTGATCGGGGCCGTTTGCGCGGCTGTGATGGGGCTTCTGCTCGGGGTTTAGGTTTTGATATTTCGGGCTTTGCACCTGGCGCATCCACAACCAAATTGGTGTTGAATTTTGGCTTCGCTGGGCGCATGGGAATTTCTTCGTCTCCGTCATCTCCAAAGCTTAGAAGCGTCTTCCCGCCTTTAGGGGCCTTCTTCTTTTTCTTGGGTGCACCCTTCTCTGCCTTCTCTGCAGTTGAAACTGTCTTTCTGTCCTTTAACTTGCCCTCCAATGGCCCCAGTTCTCCTACTTCGCAGGATGTCACCTTGATGGGATAAACAGGGCGCTCAGTGCCGGGAATGCGCTCCGCGTCTGCAATTTTTAACACATTATAGATGCTGTCCCCTTCCAGTCTCCCGAAAATTGTACATTGTCCGTTCAACTCACGCTCCGTGTTCGCTAGCGTGATAAAAAATTGACTGCCGTATGTCCCGTCCTCGCTCTTGGCCATTCCTAGCAAGCCGCGTCGATTGAATCGTAGCCGACTGTGTAGCTCATCGCGTAGGACCACGCGCTCGTTCGGATCCCGAGCTTCAGGGTCAAACTCGAATTCCGGGTATTCGTAAATAGAAGTTCCGCCGGAGCCAGTCCCGGTGGGATCACCACCCTGGATCACAAAATCGGGGGCCACCCGATGGAAGATTGTGTCGGCATAGTAGTTGTCCTTGCAGTGTTGGAGGAAGTTCTTGCAGGTGAGAGGGGCCTGGCTTGCGAAGAGCGCGATCTGGATAGGGCCAACCGTCGTGTTGAGCGTGGCCGAAGCAGTGGGATTGGGCTCACTGGCGTATTGGGAGGACATAATGGACAAGTAAGCTACCGGCTTACGGCGCGTGCCACAAGCGAGGGTAGAGCGAGGAGCTGGAGTGTATTCGGGGATATGGACACCCCTCTTGAGAGTTACGATTCAATGGGTTGGTTTTCTCCGATCAAAGCTCGAAAGAAACGTCATGTCACGTGACTTCGGTCTAGCCCTTATTTACTTGGTGTCCCTAAGGAGATTGTTTAGGAAAATAAAATTAATTGAAAACAAAAATGTGCATCATTTCTTTTGAATTCAGCACTACATGACACATTTTGCACATTTCCTGCAGTATCGGAATGAGAACCAAAGCATCTGTGACTAGCCTGGTAACGTGAGATAGGAGGTTGAGCGCCGGGCGTGGAATTTTGTTGCATTTGGGGATGATCAATAGCAGTGAGAGCCAAGAAATTTTCTGGTGGGTGCGTTGAGCATATTCTGAGATTTCTCATCGGGCTTGGTGTTTGGTGGCAGTGAATGCTGGGAGATGGTTGGATGATTCAAGGAAGATCAACTCCCTCGGCCCGCCGAATCGTCACTGCGAGACCTTGTTTTGTGAGATATTTGGCATCGACAAAGATTTTGTCGGTTGCAGATTCGAGACTTGAGTCAGCCATTGAGGGGGCAACCCTGGAAGCACATGTTGGCTGGAGACGATCCAAGAAAATGGAGTCTTGAGGTCATCACTGCCGGAGTAGATATGCGCAGTCGCCGGTGAGTCGCATGGGAAGTAGTCCAGTGTTGTCGCGTAGGGTAAGATTACTGATAATCGTCATTATGTGTCGCACATGGGGTATTGCTGGATGGAACCCAGCGGAAGATGAAGCTTCAGTTCCAGCAAGCCAGATTCACACCGGTTGCTCCTCTGGTCAAGGCTGTGGAACAATCATCTGCTCCTGCATCTGGCCCTGTTCCTGGTGCTTCTCCTGCTCCGAAGCCCTGACATGGAGTCCTAACTTAAACCGCAGACGGCGCAAAGTGCGTTCAGAGATACCATAGCCTTCTTGTTGCAACATGTTCAGCATAGCCTTATCGGTCAGCTTATCCTGTATGAAAAGCATTTTAATGCGTGCATGTAAAGCCTCATCGCCTGTCGTTGTCCGATGTCGCTTGCGGATGCCCCACTTGCGAAGGCGGGACTGAATGGTTCGTTCCTTGACCTGGATATTATGACAAGTTTCGAGGGTGCGGCTGATAGCATCGCTGGTGATGCCGTGGTGGTAGAGAGTGATGATATCATCCCGGTAGGGTTCTAAATTGATTTGTTGGCGAGGCATTTTGGGGTTGAGTACTACATAGAGAAGAGAAGAGAAGAGAGTTGAGGAGCTTCGAGGTATTGTTGGCTCAAGGCGGTGAATCTGCGGGATGGTCACTTCCGAGGTTGTTTTGTTTTGATATGGGATGTCGTGATGTCCACGGGGTTTTCCTTGGATGAAGAGATGGATATTATTAAATACTATGTTGATAGGACGCAAAGATCCCGATACAGTTACATGCAAGATGCTAATTAAATCTCCCAGATACCATCTTCCAAAAATCAGATTCAAGTTATTATTGCATCTTCATACATTCATTATGCATGGTGAATTATACCAAGCAACATACCAAGCAAATCACAGACTACTTGGGATTCACCCGTTTGTCTGATCCATTTGGAGAAAACAAACAGTCTAAACCTTTTTCTCCGCCTCCACAGCAGCAGCCGCGCTCGTTATTTCAGGGCTAGCCTTGTTCCGCTTCGCAATGCGGAATCCACCCAGTAGGAAGAAAATAGCCTGTAGACCAAGAATTACTGCGAGGGTAACCATGGCACCGATGACACCTGCCACAGCGAGTGACATCCCCGAGCCACTAGTGCTAGAAGTGCTAGCAGATCCGGAGTCGCTGCTGGCGCTGGCCGAACTGGCACACTTGCCGTCCGTGTTGCCGCACATGGTGCACCACTCGTCATCGGAAGTAACGGCGATAGCTTTGGTCTTTGAAGAAAAGTCGTCCCAGGAGAGAAGCTCGCTCGACTGGCCGTACAGCGGGTATGCAGTAGGCTCAGAGGAGCCCGTGATGGTCCCATTGTGGAACATGAAGCGCACGCTGAGGTCGGACTTGTCAGTTGGGAAGTCGGTGCCACTGGCGTTCGTCACCAGTTCGAAGACCATAGACGAGGCGTAATCCGGGATTCCGGTGAAGTTCACGGATGCAGCAGGCATCTGCAAAAGACCAAAGAGAGCGAAGATGGTGCCATAGGAGCCGAATCCAACGTTCAGCTTGGTATTGCCCTTGGTGGCGATGGTCTCGTTGAGTCCGGCTAGGATTTCGCCTGCCAGAACGGCACCGTCGATGGCGCGCACTTTATCGGAGGAGTTGTAAGCCAGATTGAATTCATGGCTTCCAGCTAGAGAAATCAGCTGGTGGTAAACCTCGTCAGTCAGGTCTGACTTGTGAGGGAATTGACTGGTAGAGTTATGGATTTTGCCGACGTTCAAGTAGTCGAAGATAGTATAGGCGTTTTTGAAAGTCATATCGGACGAGGCAAATGCACCGTCTAGCATGGGCGAAAGCGATTGGTAGAATTCTTTGGTTGAGGATAGCAGCGAGGTGTACATTTCGGAGGAAAAGTAATTGTTGCTGCTCACGGTGGCTTTCTGACATCCACTGGAGCCCTGCAACCAGGTAGAATCCTCGGCGTTCTTGCTTGTAGTGGCCGGTACCAGCTGAATGAGCTGATAGCCATTCAATGGTGCCTCGACCGAGGTTCCATTGCCTAGGGTCTGGGAAGCCACTTTTCCCACGGGGGGATATACGCCCTGCAGGAAGCCAGTGGCGGAATTTTGCAAAACGGTATCCGAGGGAGCGGAGGCACTGATCTGCTTTGGCTTGACCACATCGGCACTAATGCCCTCGATCTGCTTGGAAGAGTTTGACGAGATGTATCGGTCGTTGTAAAAAGATCCCGAATCAAAGACCTCCCGGTAGCCCAGGTCGGTCAGTTGAGTATTACCAAAGATCTTTGCCGTGCGATCTCCATGACGGGCGAAGATATACGCACCAAGCACACGCTCAGCATCAACAACCGGAGACAAAGATGCAGCCAGCAAAAGGCCCGACTGAATAGAGTACCGCATTGTGAAATAAAGAAGTAAGTAAACAGACCTCGGGGGAAAAAAACAAACCAAAAAAAAAAGACAAGCAAAATCTCCGGGTGCAAGGCTCTTTTTATCTGACAAAATGTCGGAAATTCCAAGGTTGCGGGCAAGACCCATTGACTCTTCCCCTCAGGGTCTTCAACCCCTCCAGACAATAATAAGCTTGTCAGCTTGGCGGGGAAACCCGGATAAGTGGGTTATCCATGGATTATCCATAGATTTTCCATAGATACATAGTCAAATGATTGGTCAATATCAAGTTCAGGGATGTTTGACAAAGTCAACTAATTAGCTAATTGACTAATTGAAGGCATCTCCGCGGTAGCCCACGGAGTTGCGATAGCGGAGAGCGGCCCAGTCGAGACCTTGGGACGAAATTGACTTAGAACGATCTTGGCAATTAATATAAGTGCTGTGTTTACTGATAATCGGGTGATACTCGGGTGATCATCGGGAAGGTATTCAAAAATAAGATTCTCTTTCCTTTTCGCCTCTAGACTCCAACCTACATTACTACATTTATATCGTGATATGAAGAAAAAAAAGGAAAAACAGGAACAAAACCCAGAGAATGTTGGAATCGTATCGTTTGTCCTTTATGCCACCGTAACACCCTTGTCACTCATTAGCTCACATCCATTTCGCACCACCCCGACCAGCCCTCCAGTCTGAATAGCTTCCGAACCACCTCCGGCAAGTCGCCATTCAATCTCGGCCAGTCCCTCAAGCCATGTGATACGTGTTTGAGCGGGAACTTCAAGCTGTTGGAGTTGGTCGGCTAGTGCCGAGAGGATGTCCGCCAAAGCCAAACCCTTGGTGGTCTTGAGAGTTTGCACGGTGTTCAGACAGGAAGTGACATCGCTGGTGGAGAGGATAGTGGTCATGATTTCTTGAATATCGGACGGGTGCGGGGCGGCAATGCAGTCATAGATCGTCGCATTAGTGACAGTCTCAGGCTCGGGACGAGGGGCTTTAGGGGCGTCTCTCATCGGCAGCGGGATACCTAAAAAAAAGAGAGAACAATCGTCAATTGGGCCGGATGTGAGGGAGAAAGGAAATGAACTCACTGCTGGCAAAGCATGCCTGAAGCACGTTGAGGGCTCGTCGCATATCACCTTTGCTTAGTGTCACTAAACTATCAACCGCATCAGGCTGTATCCGAACACCCTCGTTCTCAATGACCTTGTCAACCAAAGTCCGAATATCAACTTCCTTCAATGGACTAAACCGGAATCGTGTACACCGGGACAGGAGTGCCGGAGACAGCTTATGTGTGTAGTTGGCAATAACGCAGAATCGGGTATTGGCCGTGTAGCGCTCCATGATACGGCGGAGGGCCATTTGTGCGGTTGAAGTCATCGCATCGGCTTCGTCCAGAATGATAAGCTTGAAGCCTGCCAGAGGGGAGCCGGCAGTGCCTTGGGGGCCATATTGAAAATCTGTTTGGTGCCTGTTGGTGTTCACGGTAAGCTTGTAGTCCAAACCGAGAAAATTCAAGGTCACGAACTTGCAAAAGTCTTGATTTGTTCTCGAACAACATCAATACCACGGTCATCACTTGCATTCAGCTCCAACACCATCTGCCGCATGTTTTTGGTGCCGTAGATCCGCCGCGCCAGGGCCAGGATAGTGGAGGTCTTTCCGGTTCCTGGAGGTCCGTAGAGGAGGAGATGGGGAAGTCGCTGTATGAACATGTTAACCAGGGCCGATCGTACATCTATCATCGTAGGGATTTATTACATTTGTCTCCACGAATCGGTTGATAGTCGCGAGAATGTCTTGATGGCCAGAGACATCATCTAGGCTGCTTGGTCGGTATTTCTCGACCCTGACAGGTTTCTTTAGTATAGAGAACACAATTGATATCATTCTCAAACTCACCATGGCAAATTATCTTGAGCCTCGACTGGTAGATCGGCGACAGTTCTCTTTTTTCCACTCGCGTTGTCAGAGCTAAATTGGACGTCCTTGGGCGCATCCACGTCCATTGCATCCTCGTAGTCTGACATGACGAAGGTTTCTTGAATCGAGGCAAATAATCAAGATCAACAGCTGTACCAAAAAGAGCAAGTAACCGTGAAAAGTGCCCAAATTGGTTTGACGCGTGGAGCGCGTAAAGAGGCTCGGGGCGGAAAATCATGGAGCTTGGGGGAGACTCCACAGATGACATCCCGCAACTGCCTAACCTCCAACGAGGTCAACTTGTCCCCTCCACGATCTCTTTGATTGAATTTCCTACAATTTAATTTTTTTGACGCATTCAGAATGCCTGTGTGTTTTGATACCTTCAGATCTATCCTAAAGCCCCTTATTAACCCTCAATGCAGGCATACCACTCCATCTTCTTGGAGGACCGCGATGTCCCCGTGATAGGTAGGCGACTCCTATCAAATCTAGCGCAGCACTTTTTGAGCTATAAACAGACGTTTCAGGGACCAAAATTGACCATAGAATGTCTTCTGACTAGGAAACTTCCCGATTCTTCCCCTCCGCACCCGTACTCGTGGCCCCGCATACACATTGCCCCCGCTTCCCAACACCGACGACCTCGATGTGTCGCCAGAGAGTGAATCATATGACTGTGTCGATGAAATCCTCTCGCTCTTCCGTGCCAATGTCTTGTTCCGCAACTTCGAGATCAACGGCCCCGCTGACCGCATGCTCATTTATGGAACTCTATTTATTAGCGACTGCCTTGGAAAGGTCAAGCCAACTATGAATGCCCGTGATGCGGAGAAGGTAAATTTTGACATGATATACCGAAAGCCCGATATAGCAGAACTATCATTGACAATCGTATTTCCAGGCCCTGACCAACGCTGCCCTCGACAGCTTTGCTATTCCCGGTGATGTGTCGTTCCCGCTTAACCAGGCCTTTGAGCCCCCGCGCGACCGCCAGGATGCCGAAACTCTTCGCCAGTGAGATTATCGCTGCTATACATTGCAGGACAATTTTAGCTAACGAGCTTTTGCGATTCTAGGTTCATCTCGCAGGTGCGACAGGAGATCGCCATCCGCCTACATGCTAGATTATACCCCGGTGGAGTCGGACCGTCAAAGGTAAGATGGAACAAAGAATAAGCACTTGATCTATCCCAAATACTGATCAATTGTAGTTCTGGCTGAGTTTCACGAAGAGAAAGTTCATGGGAAAGAGTCTCTAGACGACGAGCGTTGCTGTATATTGTTTGATGAAATTCAGCGCATGAATGAATTTGATACTTGATTCAAAACCACACTAAGCGTTTTGCGTAACGACCAGAGAGGCTTGGTTGTGTATACTTGCATATCTGGGAGTTAAACTCGTGCTCACCTAGCCCTAAATAGATGCCCGGTATACCCAAACAAGGGGTAGCCACTGGGCAGCTAGAGTAAGTCGGATCCTACGAAAAATAAGAAGCAAGTTGTTGTAATTGTACATTGAAATGCTATTCGATCTATTTTTTGAGGTCATTTATTCGTGAAACCTAGGACGTCATCTCCACATCTCGATCACTGATCGGGGTAGATGTCGTTTCCACCTTCCGTCTCTTGCGCACGTTGCCAGCTGCCTGGATATTTTGTGTGGTGGGAAACACGCGAATGCCATGGAAGAGATATCCCTCTGCGCCACCACGTCCAGTCATGAGGGGGTGGGTTCGACCAGGCAGAACTTGCCAAGGGCGCACACGCGACGTTTGCAAGGTAGGTGGTAGGAGAATTGTCGGATCAACCACAAATTCTTCATAAAGTGAGGACAAATCAACGGCCTCTCCTTCGGAACTCTGCGATTCTAATTCCCGCTTCTTGTTGATAAATGCGGTCCTCCGAGCAGTGGAGTACATGTCTGTCAATTCAACCAGAGACTCAACCGTCGGAGAATACACGACGACAGGGGCAGACCCCGCAAGGAGCGGGACCATTGTCTTCAGGACGCTTGCTGGCTCCAGCAAGGTGGACACGATCAGACCGTCAAAGTTGCCGGCCCGGGCCTCATCCACAACTGCTTTAACTCGCCCCCATCGATTGCGCTTGTGGTAATACGCAGTGCGCTTGCTTTGTTTAAGCTCTGCCAATTCTTCTGCCGGTATGACGGGTGGTTCGTTGGCGTAGAGTGGATCGGAGTTGGGGTCAGCCAACTGCATCCAGGAAATTGATTTGAGATGGGTGTGAAGTGGGTGGGTTTCATCGGGGTTATTGGTGTCATAGCCAAAGAATTTCAAGAGTGACAAGTTCGGTTGTGAGTATGGGTGAAAAACGGTGATGGTGTTAGTAGTAGCGGACATTAGCTGGGGACGTATGCGCCGGGGTTTTGAGGGGCCAGTAGTCTGTTCGGATTCTGTGACATTGGGGGTTGGGGCACTTTGCTCCTCTACCGGGTCTTCGTCGGCATCGTGAGGATATAAGATCCCCATGCGCTCAGCCATCGCGGCAACAACAAGTCCGCCAGTCTCATCAACGATGGCATAACGTCCATGTGGTTTCATCCCCTCACCCACCTCAACATTTCCGCTGTGATGCACATTGCCCCAGCACCCGATGAGACCAATGTGTTCGTCCCGTAGCTCCATGGACTTTTGCGCATCGCGTTCCTCGATCAAGTAATTGGCAAGAAGGCCAACGTCCAGAGGGAGAATGGTAAATCGTTTCAAATACTTCTTGCGTTTCCGCAGCGTGTATTTGGCAAGAGAAAATGCAGTCTTCTGGTCTATTGCGCTGTGCGATTCCAGGAGCTTTGCGACAATGTCTTTCCCCGCGCCACCGGCCTCTCTCTTCAATTCTTCAATTTCTTGCAGAGTCAATTTCTGGGACGAGTTTTCGTCATTGATTTGACGATTTGTTCGCATCGGCATTCCATTTTCGCCAGTATCCACGTCGTCACCCTCCCCATCTCCCTCCCCGTCCGCGAGAAGGGTCTCCGCATGTAACTCAGTTGCTGAGACGACACGTAGTTGGTGGCCAGCGTCGTCGCATGCATCGAGGATTTCAAAGGTGAAATAGAACGGTCGTCCAATAATCTGATTGGCGGCAAAGTTACCGAATCTACCCAAATTGACGATTCTAGTCCAATGTTAGTTCTTGCGATGGAATCTTTCCCCGCATAGATCAGAGAGTACTTACGTATCGGGAATGATCTGGATGAGTCTTAACTGATCCGACTGGAGCCGGATAGCCACGAACTGGCCCGGGCGAATATAGGAATGCATGATGGCGATGGAACAGCTGTGCCTCGAGCTCTTCCACAAAATTATTCTGGGGACTTTTATGGTCGATAGAATTACAGCCAATCAGAGGATGAGGATACTCACAGCCGGGTGGATAGATAGTCCGTGATGTTGATGCCTGAATTATATGCCTTAGATTACTGGCTCCAGGCCTTTTCGTCATAAGTCTTCATAATACCGCTCCATACCGTACTCAAACCACAGCTCCACCCTAGGCCCACTAATGTAAGTGAATAATACAGTAAATACCAATACTGGCGTCGGAGCTTCCCCCAGGTCAACCCGCGATCGTAGTGGATCTGCAGAATCCGGGTGCCTTGCGAGCGAGAGTACTCCATAGAGACTCTGAGATCATCATCCACCTCCGTCATTGCCTTCTTCAACATAGCTTTCTCTCCATTTGGGGCATGATATTGTTTCCGAGCTCAAGCTAAAGGCTAGGCTGTTGCCTATCACTGACGTATACGCGTATACGGGCATTTCAGCCCCTACCGCCCCGGCGCAAGGCGTTTTCCTTATACCTCATGGTTTATTGTTATTATTTCGAGGTCACATCCTAAATTCACTCTCAGATCAACAATACAAACTCTGCTGAGTGCATTCTTCATTGACGTTGAGTGCTTTATAAGCCTTCCCATTTTTCCAGGGCTATAGAACTATACGTGAACTCAAACCTTCGCCCCCTCCGCCCCCCCAACAAGGTCAACGGACGTCTTCATGGGCCTGCGCAAACAGCCCCCACCGCGTCTGGAAAACATTAGCAAGTCAAATCTTCGATCGGGCGCACGCTCTCCCAAATCGCCCAACTCTGCATCCTCCCACCGGCCGACTCGTTTGAACCGATTTCCTTCTGAGGACTCTATCTACTCCCCCGACCTCAACACTTCACCTGCGTTTGACCTGATGCCACTTGAGGAGGCACAGCGGTCGCCAGTGGGGTCTCCCGCCAGCCAGCCACCGAACTCATGGCCAGACAGTAACGGAAGGCCGGATGATGGCCGCTCCGGTCAGTATAATCAGTATGAGGGAGCATACAAGGAACATGTAAATACCAACGGGCACTGGATTCAACCTACACTGGTGGCAAGTCAACAACCAGGAGTAGTGGAGAATGTCTGGCAGCCAACATCCGATGCCGGTCAAGCTTCAACTGGAGAGCTACCAGTACAACTACAGTCGAATAACCCATTCTTGAAGCCTAGGTCGGCAGAGCATACTCAAGATCTTTTGGATCGCAATGAATGGGCGCGTGATTCACATGCGACTTCAAACAGTGATGCATTGAGCCAATGTATGACATTGTGAAAGTTCTCTCAAGATCATATTTGTTGCTAACAAGTTACAGCCGAAGGGTATATTCCAATGACTGCACGGCTCTCTCTTTTAGATGAGCCTCAACAAGAATCACCATGGGCCGAGCCCCCTGGCCCTCATTCTCATTCCCAGCAACGCCCTGTGTTAGACGGCCATCACTTCGATGATAACTCACCGTGGGGGTCTCAACAGTCCATCAAGGTCTCAGCCCCCCAAGAGATCTACTTAAAGGAAGTGCAGTCTAATCCATATGTCCCAGCGGTTGCTGTGCAGCCGTCTGGTCTATCTGATGGGGAATACAACCCCCATGCGCAATATAAACCTTCATTCAACGCTGGGAGGCTCGGATCGGATGCTGGAATCAATACTCCATCTGTTGCTCTCTCTAGTCAAACCTCTGCCACATCTCATGAACTAATCGATTTGGGTCTGCCGGGCGCCACTAGCAATTTGGGGGTTGAGACCGGGTCTCATGCTGCGTCTTCGTTGTACTCAGAACCAGTGGCGAACGGGGCAAGATCATTGCCAGAAAAACAAGATCTCGCAGCTTCCGTGGTGCAACAGCCACAGCAACCCCAAGTAATCCCGATATTGTCTGCTGCAGAAGCTGCACGACAAAAGGAGCAGAGATCAGAAACTTACACCATTCGACACATCCGATGGACCGATCAAAGTGGTCAACTGCTCGAGTCCCCAATTTTGGTCCAAAATCAAAACGGACCCTGTCCACTTCTGGCTCTTATAAATGCATTGGTGCTGCGAGCGAACCCCAACGTTCACCCACCAATCGTTAGAGCTCTGTCAACCCGCGAGCAAATTTCTCTGGGTCTGCTAATCGAGGCGATGTTTGAAGAGTTAACAACATGCCTGGGTCCTGACGAGGAGTTTCCGGACATCGAAGCACTCACCCAATTCCTGACAATGCTGCATACGGGCATGAATGTTAACCCACGTTTGACAATGGTGAGTTCATGTGATGTATCCGTCAAGGGGTCACTTATACTAACGTAGTGTTAGGATTCTACTGAAGGATTTGGCACTTTCCTCGAAACCGGCGATCTTCGACTGTACAGCACATTTGGTATACCATTGATCCATGGCTGGCTAGCCTCTTGGTCCAGTCCCACTCATGCCGCCATGTCCCGCACTGCTCAATATTATGAGGATATTCAAATGCTGCCCTTTCGCAGACAAGCGTTTGAGGAACGGGTGGCGCAAGGCGAGACACTTAAACCCGAGGAAGAGAATGCCATGGCGGACATCCAAACCATTCAACAATTCGTGGAAATTGAGAATGCGACACAATTAAGCCCATTTGGCTTGACACAGCTTTCGACTAAGCTTACGCCCGGATCTGTCTCAATTCTTTTCCGCAACGACCATTTCTCGACTCTATACAAACACCCACAATCCCACCAACTCTACACTTTGGTTACCGATGCTGGCTATGCGGGCCATGCCGAAGTAGTTTGGGAATCTCTAGTCGATGTGACAGGGTTTAACACGGAATATTACTCTGGCGACTTTCGCCCCGTGGGCGCTGGTTCTTCGGCCCCATCTGGTCCCGATCCGGGCCGCCCCCGAATATCGAGTGAGCCAGTCACTCATTCTCCAAATGCCAACGAAGCATCGAATTCCCCCGAGCCGACTCAAGAACAGAGTGATGCGGACTATGCATATGCTCTCTCACTTCAATTCCAAGAAGAAGAGCAACGTGAAAATGCTAGGAATGAGCAGGCTCGCGATCGTCGCACGTCTGTCCTGAGTAATTCTTCCAATCGACCCTCTCCTTCACCTCGACCATCACCTTCACCTCGCATGAGCAATGTACCTAACCGATCTTCGAGCGTTGCCAATACGGTTAATCCTCAGCCTAGACCCCAACCACAACATGGGCCTGGGCCTGAGGATCCAAACGCCCCTCCTCCTCCCTATGAACAGGCTGCTAGTGGGCCGCGCTATTCGCCCCCTGACAGAAGATCATACGGCGGTGCTGCAGGAAATCAGTACCCTGGCAACCGGAATTCGCGGAATCGAACCTCGCAGTATTCTCACCGGCCGCGCCCGTCCGGGCGTGCGGGGGATCACAATGTAGCGGAGACAGAACGGAACAAAGATTGCATAGTTATGTGAACAATGCAACACCTGCAAATGATGAGAGGCCCTGATACCTCTTTTTCTTTTTCTTTTTTTACGCCAATACACTTGATGACGGAATGAATATGACACAACTACCTACTCCCGTACATACTTTGTATATATTGTAGAGAAATAATATGTCTTTGATTAATCTGTATGATTCCATATGAAACATACTAGTTTCTTATTCATTCTCCTCATTCTCCACGGGGTTACAAAAGCCAACACGGAGCTTCTCCGCGCCTAATAAACAGATATAAGCCAGGTAACATGTGACATGTGAAATGCCTACCTCTTTTCGGACATGTCCGCATTGGTTACATGTAATTGACCCTAAGGTTGGGGAAATTAAAGGACTCACCTTGTATTTGTGGGGAATAGGCTTCTTGATTGGAGGGGTTATTATGGCGCCTTTTCCCAGCTAGTCTTCCTCCGTGAAAGAGTAAAGTATGCAATCTATTCCAATTTATGCCAAGCATACGCCAAACTCATCTACAGGTCCTTTAGCCTAAGTCAATGGTGGCGTTTTGGCACGCTCTACTCCGTAATGTCGTGAAGAACACAACCCCGGCCCGCCGGCCCGCACGTTTGGCTGGGATTAGGGCTTAGTATAAAGAATGTTGCTATGATCAAATTGGCCATAAATATCCTTGGGGTTTCGTTGGTTTTGTGCAGCTTTACGAATCAAGATCTGTAGATTCCCCCTGATAGTAAATCTTGCCATGCAGATTCTCCTTTCTGGTGCCCTCGTGGCTCTCATCGGGATAGCCCAGGCTGCCACTACCACTCTGACAACAACGACCAAGTCCACAGCGCAGGTAGCTGCTACTACTTCGGCAGGAGCTGTTTGTACTGGAACATTTAGTGCAATCTCGGCTTCTGATTTTGTGTCGAATCTGCATCCCGGTTGGAATCTGGGAAATACCCTTGACGCTGTCCCCGACGAGGGATCTTGGAATAATGTCCCCGTTGTGGCATCGACATTTGATACGGTGAAGGATGCCGGCTTTAAAAGTGTTCGACTCCCAGTTACCTGGGCTTATCACTTTATCGGAAGCTCACCTGATTGGACTGTTGATCCAACCTGGTTGCAGCGAGTTTCTGATGTGGTTGATATGATTGTGGCCCGTGGACTCTATGCCATCGTTGATGTGCATCATGGTATGCTATATGAACTTATATCCAAGATTGGCCTTAGCTGACATAAAATAGACTCATGGGTTTGGGCAGATGTTACCCAGTCTGGAGCCAATCTGACCATGATTGAAGAGAAATTCTACAGCCTCTGGTATCAAATTGGAACCAAGTTGGCCTGCAAATCCAACCTTGTTGCTTTTGAGCCTATCAACGAGCCTCCGTGCAATACTGCGGCCGACGGTACCGAACTCAACAAACTGAACAAGATCTTCCTCCAGGCTATCAATGATGCTGGTGGGTTCAACCCGCAAAGAGTTGTTACTCTAGTCGGGGGTGGTGAGGATAGCGTCAAGACTGCAGACTGGTTTGTTGCACCTTCCGGGTTTTCAAATCCATATGCTATTCAGTTCCACTACTACAGTCCCTGTGAGTCATACGTGAGTGCATATAAGGGGTTGAGTTGAACTGACTAAGTGGCTGGCTTCTAGACGACTTTATCTTCAGCGCTTGGTAAGAGTATAGACCCAGTATGTTGATATTATGTACTGAGTCCAAACAGGGGAAAGACTATTTGGGGCTCTGACAGTGACAAGAGTACTGTACAATCTGACTTCCAGCAGCTGCGCAACGCTTTCCCCAATGTACCTCTTCTTTTGGGTGAATATGATGCTTCACCCACTAACACCGAGCCCGCTGCTCGATGGAAGTATGTTGACTTCTTGATCAAAACTGCAGCCAGTCTCGACATCTCCTGCGTTCTGTGGGATAATGGATTGGACCA